AAACTTTTATGTGAAGAGAAATATAAAAGATAGATTGCTTTACTTACAATTTTGCTGTGATGTTTGCATCCTTACTAAATGTAATACAGTTGGATCTTCAGTAATTTTTTTAATAAAATGCTCTGCTTTCTCATCATCATTAAAGAGGTGAGGTATGAATGATAACTTTTCCATTTTAATTGCAAACTGAAACAAGTAAAGTAGTTCTACTCTTGAGTATCCAATGTATATCATTGGAACAGCACTCTTCTGTCCAGTCTCTAGTGATTGTACCTCATGTCCATTTGTACTTAACTGAAGTAGTTCACCCTTTTTGAATGAAATAACTAGGCCATTATAATCATTTTGAGCTTCACAGATGGATCCATTAAATGATAGCACTGTCTGTGTGGATTTGACTTCTTTATCTATTGATGTTAATTTCATAGAAAAATATATATAAATACTTACTGTAAGGAGATTGCATTTCAAGTAGCTTCCCAATTTCTTTTTCATTGTCTTGTAGTACTTCCTTTTGACCTGTTTTAATGCATTATGTTAGAAGCTAATAAATCATGTATATACTTATTCTGATTCTTAGAGTAGATTGTAAATGTTCGGTTTCTCTTAATAACATTCGCATTTTTTGTCTTGCAGCCTTTTCTCTTTCAATTTGTTTGACTTTAGATTTAAACCCTTTATATGATTGCAAGCTGATAAGTCAATAATATGATAGACATTATCCAATACCTGATGCCTGCTTGCTACTATCGATGAATTCTAAAATTACTAAAATTGATAATTATAAGGTGATGTAATGAGACTAATGTCAATCCCTACCTTGTTTCTGTTTTAAAGGTATAAGTTGCATTGCCTGATCGTCAAGGTGACCTGTACATACATGCATACATTGATTTGATTTTATAAGGAAAATACTTGATCTCATACTTTCTTTGTCATTGTGGTATGGATTCAGCTTCATTAATTCTCCTTTGCACATTTCAATCTCCCCTGCAACAATCTTCATTTCCTAAATAGATATTAAAGTTTTAAAATACATTTATGTCTGGTATACTTTGTTTCTGATGGTCCTGTCATAGATACTGCAGTGTCCTATTTTCAATCTCATTAAAGCAAATTCTTCTTGCAGCACAGTAAGATTATCACGAGCCCTCAATTGCAAAGCATTCATTAGATGAGTAGGAGCACCACAAATGATGATGATGGAGTTCCCTTTATGCATGCTTTTGACTATGATCCTTCTGCTCAATCCTTGAAATGCTTTCTCCATTAAACGACGAATATCATTCAATAAGTGCTCAGCAGGATCCCAGTCTAGAACAAACTCAATTGTTTCACAAACAAGAAAATCACTTGTTGAAAGCTTTTTATCGAGCAAGAATTGGAGCTTGAAAGTGTGACAAAACTCATCAACTGTTGCATTATAATTGGTTATTAATGGCTTAGCTTCTGTTATGCTGTAGAAATTGACTACTTTTTTCACTGGTGTGATATTGATGACATTGCATATGGTTTTAATGGCTTTCATGACATCTTTTACTGTAGTGGCAATGGCCAGCTGTTGGCTCAGGTCAGAGCAACAGGCATTGATGCATTCTTTGAAATCTTCAAGTTGATCTGCTGTGATCTTATTGCATACTAAACCAGTAATTTTAATATAAAACATCCCATAATCCCATATCATCTCATCAAAGCGATCATTATAGAGTTGTGTAATATAAAGCTGAATATCTATCATTACATTTGTAACTCTATTATACTATTAGTAATAATTACCTGTTTGAGGCCTTGAAATATTACCTATAAGGACATAATTCCTACATGATTTGCTATTGTTAATCATATAAAATACCTGAAGTAGATTCAATTGCTGGGGTTGGAAGATCATAAATACACTCAGACTCACTTTCAGGTATGATAGTTTTCTCTGAAAAGAACAATAAGTTAAATAAGTTCCTTGTATTAGATTTTAATTATTACTTACCAATATCCTGTAATAACTCATTGGCCATACTGAGAATGTCTTTTGTTTTACATAATATTTTAGCAAATGATTTCAGTTTGTTACGATCATTAGCTACTGCTGTGTGTATTTCTCTCATTGCATCATCTGTTAGTGTGTATCCACAACTCTTCACTTCCCTCAATGTTTCTTCAGATATCAGTCCTTCTGTATGTAACAGA